ATGTTTGCATTCATTCATCTGTTTTGCATGCACCGGGCTCGGCGCATCATACTAACTGCATTGTATTTTCAATTCCATGTTGAATACATGTTAGCTGTAGCATTTCATATGCCATGTTTAGAATAGCCGAGTCTGCTATAGTTGCATTTTTGCATGTGTTGCATTAGACATTTATGTATAATTAGGATCATGCATGGATTTCTAATTAGCTTTTGTTTTGGCTTGGAGTACTCGGTAAGTTTTATGCTTTAGCATCCTTGCTTGCGTGTGAGTGACTGCCATGAATAGCATGCTTACCATGAGGCTATATGCTTATGTGATATAACTGCCTAAATGCCTGTGGGTGAAGGTTGGGTTATTTGGATTGGAACAAATCATCAAATGCTTCAAGCCTACCTGCCAGCTATCCTGTATTCAGATATTTTCGACCAAGGCTTGTATTTTGCTATATATGAAGGCCATAACACTCATATTGGAGGTTAGCAAGTTTGGGAGCCTCTCTCTCTAAAAATCCTTCTCTCTACAGAATTTTGTGAGCAAAATTTCTGCCTCTGTCTCTAGAATCCTTAGCCTACTTGCGGGTAGCACCATCAAACCATTTTCAAGTAAACAAACATGAGATGTGTTGTTCCAATTCAGGCGATCCAGTCTATACTTGTATGCTGTGCGCATCACGTAGTAAATCTAGGCTAATAACCGGAATAAGAATGCCTAATGTTTTCAGAACTCAATATTATGGTTAGTAGAGGTTGATCTTTGATCGGGCGAGCGGGGGTGCTCATGAAGTGACCTTCCGCAATCGTACCCAAGTTCCCGAGCCGAGGCAACTTTGGTGATGACGGACACGTGGCCTTAGGCAAACGAGTCAGGGTTTCCTAAATTTTCCCAAAGTAAAATATTTAGGTGGTGACTCTGTATCTGGCAAAGCAGTCCATGTTTGGCACTTTTTTCAAAAATCTGTTTTCTCAAAACGATTTGCCAGATTTGAACTCTTTGGTTCAGACTTAGAGCCGTGACAATTTTAGAGTCCTGAACTGTAGTGAGCCCAATATCGAACGGAACGGGGGGGAGCCGTTCCTCTCCTGGGGCGTTTAGGAGACGTCTACACATAGTTGTTTTGCCATTTCCAGATGTTGATAAACATCGAACAGAGAGTCTGACAACACATTCAGAATGTGTCCTTGGCAAATGTAGTCGTCATTCTCCCGTTTGGTTCTAGTACGAGTTTGCTCAATTGTCTCGTCTTTTTGCTCCACCAGATAGGGGGTAGTTAGCACATAAACCACTTTGAAAGTGATGAACAAAAATTGCATCTTCTTTTGCCAAGGTCAAAAATTTCCTTCATCAATCGGTCAAGTTTCATGAAATATTGAGTCATTTTCTGAATAGACATTACCATATCTAATTATTGTCTTTAGATTGTTGGAACAAATTTGTCTTGAATTCTTCAGTTGGTGGTCTTCAAGTCTTCAAAACTTGGCGATGATCTTGTCTATGTAGAACAGAAAATTGGTGCTTCAAGTCCCGTTACTTAGTGTTTTCTTAAAGACAATATTTGTACCTTTCAAAAGGTGTGCAGGGAGTTATAGCAAATTCGTCTCCAGGATACAATGAAGCCTGATCTAAAGATCAAGTCTACCGGTGCCTGCACTGACGATAGTAGATCAGAATACTCTTGATATAATCAAGAAAACCAAGACACTAATAATCAAGTCTGCAGAATTTGATTACCAGTAGGAAAAGCAGAAACTTGCTTAAGAAACTCTTGATCGAAAACTCTAAATCAAGAGAGAGAGAGAGAGAGACAAAATTGTAGAAATGATATCTGAATTTTTGGATGACTGAAATGGATATTTCATAGCCTATTTATAAGCCTTGATGCATCTGATTGAATGGCCATGTCCCTTGATCGCATCCGATCAGATCTGACCGTTGGATCGACGATCTATGGTGCAGATCGTTTCCACACCGAACAGATGCATTGACTGATGATCATACTTGATCACAATCAGGTGGCATCTCATCCGCACAATCGCGCGCATTTTCCAATCAACGGCTATGATCAAATTGCTCCAGATCAAACACACAACCGTTCAATCGGTTAGTTGACTCATCACCAACGGACACCACATCACTGCCACGTGGAGCAGACTATATTCCATGTTACCCATGCCACGTTGGATCCACGTCATCACTCCAACCTGTCCGAAACAAATAGGAAAGTGCCCTCATGGCGCCTTGCGCACCCATGCCATGTTGGATCCACGTAACCTGTACAAAGTGAAAAGTGCACCATGAAACGCCACACAACCCACTGTCCATGCCATGCGCGCGTATGCGGATGGTCCTTGCAGTGTGAGTGCATGTACACTACCATCAATCCCATAATATCATATTCCAATCCCATAATATCATATTCAAAGGAATATTTCATGGACACCACATCACTGCCACGTGGAGCAGACTATATTCCATGTTACCCATGCCACGTTGGATCCACGTCATCACCCCAACCTGTCCGATACAAATAGGAAAGTGCCCTCACGGCGCCTTGCGCACCCATGCCATGTTGGATCCACGTCATCGCCTCAACCTGTACAAAGTGAAAAGTGCACCATAAAATGCCACACAACCCACTGCCCACGCCATGCACGTGTATGCGGATGGTCCTTGCGGTGTGAGTGCATGTACACTAGTATCCATCCTATAATATCATATTCAAAAGAATATTCCATGTAACATTTTATTAAGTGTTCCATATTTTGCTCTCTTTTCAATGTAGGACAAATTCCCCAAGCTACTTTCATGCTTTCCAAAGAAAAAAATAGAAGGTTTTGAAAACACCAAAAACTAAACAATAAATTTTAAAAACTCATTTTGAAAATTCCCCAACAGGAGAAACTGTTACACAGTATGCAGAATAGTAACTTTGGTTAATTAAAATTAGGGCAAATTACATATACACCCCTCCAGGTTTGACAAAATTACAGATACCCCCCTGAGGTTTGAGAAATTACGAATTCCCCCCTGAATGCTATATTTGCATAAGAAATTAGGGGGTAATTTGTTATGAAATATAAACCTCAGGGGGTAAATTGTTATGAAAATACAAACCTCAGGGGGCGGGATGTAATTTTCGAAACCTCAGGAGGGTATCTGTAATTTAACCAAACCTGGAGGGGTGTATATGTAATTTGCCCTTAAAATTATACCTTTTTTATCATTGCCACAAAGATGCTTTTTATGCATAAATATTAAGGGGTTGTTTGGAATTGAATTTTTTTGTTTTTAGTAAACTTTATTTAAAAATTTTCAAAAAATCTTTCAGGTTTTACTAAACTAGATGAACCAAAAAATTAAAAAGAAAAAAATTGAAAAAAGGTTAAAAACCTAAATTTTTTCATCATCTAATAATTTTTTGGATGAAAATTACAAACAAGTCTCAGGTTTTGACTTTTGTAACAAAATAAATCTTGAATTTTTAATTTTATCAATTTAAACACTAATTTTTTTATTTATTTTTAACGTAAATCATTTGTCTATTTTCGTTAAGTAAAATCGACTGAAAATGAGTATTGTTTTTTTTAGGAAATTGAATTTAATGATTAAAATGCATTTTTTTCTCGATTTTAGTTAACGAAAAAAGACATGTTTTCAATTGAAAACAAATATAAAAAAATAATATTTAAATTGATAAAATTAAAAACTCAAGATTTATTTTATTACTAGAGTCAAACACTAAGTTTCTTTTGTAATTGTTCTTTGTTTAGGTATTTTATCATTAATAAAAAAAATTCAAATTTTTTATTTTTTATTTTTTATTTTTACTTTTTTGGTTGATCTTACCTATGGTTTTTTATCACAATAAAGAGTTGTTTTAATTGTATTTTTTCATGTATATCGTTGTGTTGATTTATCATTGTTTTGTTTATAGATATAATTCAACTATCGTTTAATTGAATTAGATCTATTATTGTTTAATTAGATTTGTTAATCATTGTTTAAATTGAATTTTAATTTCAAATCAACATCTTAGAATTTTTAAGATTTCTCAAATATTTATTCTTAACTTATTTCATCATGTAATAAAAATAATTTTAAAAAAGAAAAAAATGCTAGACCAGAAGATTATAACCCAGTCAACACCAAATGCAAAAAACATGTTTATTCATTGTACCAATGACAGAAATGGCGAAGTGACGGTCCCATTTAAAGACGGGGCGGCTTTCTGCTCTGGTCCCCAGCCGCCGTCAATGACTCTAACATCACGGTTGTTTAGCTTCATAAAATGAAAGGAATTAAGAATATAATGAGATTCGTGAAAAGATTATCAATGTGAAGACATTAAGGTCAAGTTTGGCAACTCTTAAAAAATTTAAAAAGTCAAAAAATTACTATCCTATTTAAATCACATCATTTTATTTAAGTCACATCACCTCTTTAACACATCACTTCAAACCCAATCCAAACTCAACCCATATTTTATAAAAAGTCAAAAAGTACACTTATTTAGTCTTCTCAAACTTGGCCTAAATTAAAAATATAAAATAAAATATATTTATTTATGTATTAATGTAACAACATTAGTTAATTAAAATAAAATGTACAAATTACGCAAAAACTCTTATTACATAGAAAACAATATTATTAATTTCATAAAATGAGAGAAAAAATGATCTTTCAACTATTAATCTATAGGCGTGGACTAACAATCCCACCATCCCACCACTCCCATGCAGATGCTAATCTCATAATAGGAGAAGAATAATTGTCTCACAAGATTAACAATCTCATATCATTCCTCTACAAACAACATGATATAGATAGATAAGATGCATGAATTACTAATCCAATCTCATTCCCTAAACCTCCAAACAAACATGACCTAAGAGATGTGCATTGTTGGCTTAAATAGTTAATGTGGGTGCTGCACCCCTAATCCATAAAAACATGCAAATCCCACACTCATAGCCAGGAGAACAAAATTTGAGGATAACTAATTGATAATTCAAATAAAGAAATTTCCATAAACTCTAAAGCAAGAAAATGTTACAAATCAGGTTGCAAAGATATATCAAATTCCGCACTAGAGTCGGTCAATACTCAACAAATGATGAGAACAAAATCTTACAGTAAACCAAAAAAAATAAATAAACAAACAGAAAATAAACACATAATTCTAAGTTATGACACAGTACAAAGCCATCAAGGCCTTGAATAACTCAACTACTCAGAAGTCGGCCAAAAAATTGTCCCCATACCACACCTCATATTAACACACCAGTCAGGGAAAAACAAAGTGCGAACAAACTGAGAATCGAATGAACTCATCAAGCCAACACACTTTGAACTTCCCACCAAAAGCCGATTCCTATGTTCAACCGTAAGCATCACTCTTGCACATCTTCAGCTTCATTAGCAAGCCCATTTTCAGCTTTGTCAGCACTGCATGTAAAAGAAAGCAATTAGTTGTTTCACATACAGCACTTGGCAATTAAAACATGGACATCTCTCTGCTTTTGTTTTCTGCTCCACCAGCTTCGGAGCATATCAAATATCTAAATACCAGGCATCTATATATACCACCACAAAATACATACATATACATAATTCTAGATGCTACTGGTGATGCCACATTCTAGGAAGCAATATCTACACCACCAAGGGTGGACGCACATTTGGGCAAGTGGATCAATTGCCTCCACTGAACACAGTTTTAAATATTGTGTTGGTTTCCCCTAAAAAAGTGTCACTCGTTGCTAATTAGAACTCTCCATATGAATCAGATTTCAGATTTACTTTAGTTTTTAAATAGATTTTAAAATACATAAGGGAACAAATTTGAAGTTATTAAATAAACAAGGGTGTAGGATTATAATTCAATTTGTTAAACATTATTGTTGTTGTTGTTATTGCTATTCAATTTTAAAATTTTAGTTTGCCTAAGATTTTTGCCCCCACTAAACTTGAACCCCTTAAATCCACCCCTATATACCACTCAATAAGTTAAAAAGTGAAAAACTACAAGAAAAAGATTGTAAAATAAATAATGTCTCTGGAACTCTTTCATAGTGGAATCCAACTCATATTCTTTTACTTGAACAAGCCAAGTATTCTTCGGTATCTAAGAACAAGTGCCATACATGAGCAAGGAAACATTGTACAATCCAGCTAAACACTTCCTTAAATTCCAAGTCATTCTCATGATGCCAGAGAAATTTGGTTCAAGTAGAGTATATTGAATGAGTTCAAATGGACAAGTTTAAGTTTGCATTTGCGTTTGCGTTTGCGTTTGCACAACAAAAAAACCAAAGCGCCAAACAAAAGCTTGGGAAGAGATCTTAAGGTCACAAGTACATGAAAAAGATAATCATCAAATTGAAGTAACTCTCGAAAAATCAACAATGTATCCCAGAAAGGGCAGATCTGTTGCCCTATCAACAAAAAAAACACAAAAGGCAATTCTTTCATGCTCAAATTACATGATGAATAAAGATAAAAAGAAGGGAATCGTGCATGCATAATGTCACATGCTCATGCACTTAGTAATATGACTAGTTAATTTCCTCCCCTATTCATACTCTCAATCTCAAATCATATTATTCAAAATACAACAATTATTTATAAAATTTCAAACCCAGGTAATGTATAATTGTGTACTACCAATCAACATAAAGAGGACGATCAAAATTTTAGGTATTCCAAAAATAGTGATAGAAGACAAGTTTCGCAAGGAAACGAGGGTTGTTAAAAGGAATTTCAAAGTATGCATTTTGCATTTGAGTCCATGCATGTTTTAAATGACATATGAAGTGGTTTTTCGTAAGATCCAACCCGACAAAGAAAAAATGTAAATGACCTCAACCGCGATTGCACCAAACACATGTAAAATCTGTATGCAAGGAATAAAATTCAATAGTTCATTCATATGCACAGTTGGGCCAACAGAGAATGCTTGTAAACCCACATTGCAATCTATAAGAACTAGCATATCACCCGTGCTATGCACGGATTGTGTTTACAATTATCTATATATGTGAATTGCGATTTTTAAATGTCTTCTTTTTTTTTCATTTTTTATATTGTATTAAAGTTTATTATTTTGATAATAATCATATGTGTTAAACTTTTCAAGGAATTAATTGTCTTTTTTATTATTATATTATATTAAAATTTAATATTTTGATAATAATCATGTGTTAGATTTTTTAAATTTTTTTTTTTATACTTGTTCATAATAATCATATGTGTTGGGACTTTTCAAGGAATTCATATGTGTTAGATTTCAAAGAATTTTTTTTATGCGTGTTCTTTAATGCATTAAAGTGTTATTATGAGAGTAAGATTTGGGGGTTGGGAAAAATTAATAAATGCTAAGGTTTTTTTGTTTTTTTAAATCAAAAAATCAAGAAATTTAGATGGGAAGATTGGAGCTCCCACAAGGCTAGGGTTTAAACCCCCTTTTGCTTAATATATATATAGTATAGATTCTTTTCCCCCATATGCAATCTTCAGAAAATAAACTCAGATGAAACCAAAAACAACATCCAAAAACATAAAAGTTCCTTTTGATAAAATAAAGTGAATTGACAAAACAAAGCACAATTGATTTAGAATTGGAATCTAAAAACTGAAGAAGATATTAAATCTTTATGCTAAACAAACAAAATTGAATTCGACAATAACCCAATTAACTCTTGCAGTATCACCAAACTAGTCATAAATCATAATATTAAACAAGTTTAGCAGCAAATTCTTGTAACCAGAATCGAGATCAAAACAACTAAATTTTACAGTATTTGCACTGCACAAAGCTCAATTCACAAACCTTGGAGGACGAACATCATCAGCAGCAGAATCAGTCTTCCTCCAGCTCTTCTCAACCTGACTTTCCGGCGAAATCAATCTTCCATTCCCGATCCCAAAACCCCTCTTCCCATCATTCGCAGAACCCATCTCCTTAATCTTCGTCGACTCGAGTTTCTCATCGATTTCCTTCCAATCCTGCCCCTTCTCCTTCAAAACCTCCTCCCTCGGCCTGGCCGCACCAAATGGGTTCAAACCCTTGGGCTTCACCACTGTCACTGAACCATCTTGCTGACTATCTCCCACCGGCAGTGTCCGAGGCTGCAAATTAAGCCTACGCCTCTCGGTCCCAATATTCCCATCTCCACTCTTCTTCCCCCAATAATCAGAATTTGCAGCACCATTGGTTGCTGAATCAAACCCCCCTCGCCTCTCTCTCAGACTATCAAAAGCTCCAAACTTTTTCCCCTCCTCTTCCTTTTTCTTCACCCAATTATCCGAATCTGCGGCTCCATTCGATTCAAATGCCACTCGTCTCTCTCTCATACTCTCAAATCTCCTTCCCTCCGAAGGAACAAAGCTCTTCTTCGATACCCAACTCTCAGAATCATCAGCCCTAGACTCAGACCCAGACCCAAAAAACCCTCCTCTCTCTCTCCTCTCAAAACCATTACTAGATAAAGACTTCTTCGATGCCCCCCAATCATCAACCTCATCAGCACGAGACGGCCCTAATTCTCTGTTCGAATCTCCGTTCCTACGCGGCTCATCAGATGATGCCCTAGAAGACCCCCACCGCGATTTCGAAGACTCGTCGCCATACGATCTGAACCCACCGCCGAGCCTCGACTGGTCGAGCTCCTCGGCGGTTCGCTCGCGTGGACCAGTCGGAAGCAACGTCAGATCTACGATGGTGAGGCGTTTGGCAGGGGTAGGGTTGTTGAACTCGGAGAGAGGAATTTTTTGGGGCTTCTTCTTCTTCGTCTTCGCCGCCGCAAGAGAAGGAAAGTCCGCCGCGTCGCCGCCGTTGGCACGGTGGTTCTTGTCTTCGTTTTGAAGCTCCTTTTCGTGCTCTTCAGAATCGAGTGCCCAGGCGCCTGGTTTCGCCCACGCACTAGTCACTGTTGCCGCCATTGTCTCTCTCTCTCTCTCTCTGGAATCTCTAACTCTCTCTCTAGAATCTCTCTCAAATAGCTTTTGCTGTTTGAGCTGCGTATGTAAGTCGGCAAGCGAAGAAATGGGTTTATATATAGATAGGAAGGTGATTTTTGATCGGACGGTGCAGAAGCGCTTTCCTAATCCGGAGTGCGTTGGGAATTGGGGAAATCCAAGTAAATTAATTAGTATTACATTAAAATCATTATTAGGAAACTAATGCCTTTGCTTGGTTTCCAATTTTTTAAAAATAATTTTTAGAAAATTCTATACTTTTATTTTTCGTATTTTTTTGTTTTTATTAATTTTTTTTAATATTTTATATAAATTTTTTATTTTTTAGACACACCTAATATAAATACACTTAAAAAGTAAAAAAATTATAAAAAAATTTTCTTAATTTTTTAAAATATTTTTTCATAATTTTTTTTACTTTTTAGACACATCTAAGCAAGGTGCATCTAAAAAAGTAAAAAAATGTTTAAAATTTTAAAAATATTCACTAAAAACAAAAAAAAATACGAAAATCAACAAACTCGATTTTTAAAAAATTTAATCTAAAAAACTCAAACTAAACACAGTGAATCTTATTAAGGAAACAAAATTTACTTTGCAGGTGTTTGTTTGTTTGTTTTTTAATAATAATAATAAAAGATTTTAAAATGTTTATCAATTTTTATTTTTGTGTTAAAATAAATTTTAATTATTTTTTTTAAGAGTGGATTGTGTTTTTAAGAAAAATATTGAAAATAGTTTTCAAAAGCACTTTGTCAAGTAAATTTTTTATTTTTTTCCAAAAATCGAAATGCAAAACAAAAACTGTGCCGAACAGGCTTTGAAAACTATTTTTAAATTTTTGTTTATGAAATAACTCGTTTTCTTAACAAAACATTGAAAGTCCTTTTTGAAATTTCGAAAATTGTTTTCATACAAAAAAATATTAAAAATGATTTTTCAAAAAAAAAAAAAAGTCAAACATTTCTCATGTTTTTGCTAAAATAAAATATAAAAAAAAAATTCCTCATTTTTGTTTTTTGTTTTTTGGGCTCTTGGTTTAGGATTCCAAGTGGTTGTGGCCCTTGGCAACATCTTAAACTCTTCTCAAAATTTAATTTTTCTTCAAACATAGACCCGAATCTTAACATGTAACACCATTTAATTTTATATTTCTCTTGTGATATCAAAATTATCCCATTGACACTTTTTATTCCTTTTTGTCGAAATAAAATAATTTTATGGCTTGTTAAAAATAAAATTTTCGCTTTTATTTCAAGTTGAATGACCTCATTTGAATTGTTGGTAATGTATTTAAAAATTTTCCTTTTAATAATATATGTACGTGACTTCCTTCCGGTCTAAAGTGGAGTGTCCAATTTAACTTATTATGAACCTACTTCGTTAGTTGTTTAAGTTTGTCTAAAAAAAGTTATTATTCTTCTAATGTGTGTAAATTAATTTATTTATCTTTTTACTCAATTTCAAATGTTTAGCTTGATGAGTTTCTATGAGTGCTCAAAAGCCTCGTAGGTTAACTTCAAGTAAAAAACATTTGACTCTCTCGCGCTCTAAAAAAATGCACTTTCTAAAATTTTAAATTAGGGGAAATTTTATTTTAGGGGTGATTTTGAAAAATAATTACAAATAAATAATAAATTTTATAAATATTAATAATTAAGAATATAAATTTTTTCATGAATCTATAATAATTTTCTAAAACTTCTACTAATTAATAATTTCCCCTTTAAATTATATAGCATATTCTTCATTCTGTTAAATAACGTTTGTGCTGATATTAGTAATTTTATTTTTTGAAATATTCATTTTACCCTTAAAGTATTTTCTTCTCCTTTTATTTGCACAACCCAACACCAGAGGGTGATGCCCCCGCCTCTCCCTCTGGTGTTCCTTCCTCTAACTTAATACATATATCGAAAAATGTTTAGGAGCTCTAAAAGAGCTCTAAGTGTGTGGACTCCACAGTGATGGTGATGTTTTGGCTTGTTTTTTTTTTTTTTGTTTTTTTTTTTTTTTTTTTTTTCTTGTCACGTCATTAGAACTCAATTGGAGCTCTAAAATTAGGGAATGTATCATTACTCCCCTCTCCTACTTTCCTTGTTATAATGTGACATAGGAATGTACCGTTTCGCCTCTCCATTATCTTCAAATGCTAAAAAAAAATTAAAATATAAAAAAAAAATTCAATTTAGTTGAATTGGTACAAATTTTGTAAAATTGAAACACACCTTACATTATAAAAATAGATTAAAAATCAAAATATTGATTAATCTTGAGCACCTTACTTGGTCTTACATCCCTAAACTTTGATAAACCCCTTTGGACTTCACTATTTTTGTACTTGTGAACTTTCTAAATAGTGAAGTGTATCCAAGGTGATCATCCAAGAGGACATCCGGGGGGACATTCGGCAACAGCAAGGAACAGTGATTTGATAAAAGGCACATTTGTTCTCAATTTAATGAAAGAAAAATGAAATTCTCAATTTGATACCTATTTGATGCAACCGTTGGAGTAAGAAAAGAACTCATTTTTCATCAAATTCAAATTTGATGAAAGGTTTGAGTAATTATTAAAGAAGGTCTTACATTGACAGGGGTGACGAGGGTATAGAGAAAAAATACTGAGTGCAACAATCTTATTGACTAATAAAAAATTGTAAATGAATCAAGTGGACAAACATCTCCCATTACCTTAACATTAATATGATTCCTACAAAATAAGAATATTCATTGGATGGTGATACTGTTATGTGGTATTACTTTGATATCTAATATTTAATTGGATAAAGGGGTTTAAGTGAGGGAGGAATGCGATAAGCATATTTAGGGCTCATTTGGCATATGAATTAAGGCTAAATTAATCTATTAAAAGATAAAATAGACTAATTTAATTAATAAAACAAAATGTCACATTCAAATTATAGGGTTGTTTTGGAAAGTTGGTTAAAAGTTGTCTTTTTGGCTCTTTTTTTTTTTAAATGTGTAAAAAATAGAGAAAATTCAATTTCCACACACTTAATTAACTCAAGGCAAATCTTTTCTCAATACACACACTTATTAATTTAATTATTAACTAATTTTCTCAATCCACACCCTTAAAATTACAATTACATCCTTCACTCATAACCATGGTACACACACTTTACCCTCAAATTCACACACTTTTACTGACCATAATTCACATTTTTGGTTCCACTCACAAAAGTGAAGACCAAATTGACTTTTGTTCAAACAGGGGAAAAAAAAAAGTCTTTGAACTTTCCTCATCTGCATGAAAGACTTTGAAGACCTCCATTGAACATCCACTAAAGACCATTGAAAACCCTTCTTTAAGGTAAGAAATCTTTCCATTTTATCATTTTGTTATTACATCATTGGCCAACAATTATAATTGGGCATATCGAAAAGGGTCTCTATTGCTCGATTTATACAACCTGCCACATTGACATAGATCTTGATTACATTATAGAAAAAATCTTCAAAAAGTCTGTAACTTCTTCTTTCAAGTTTGATTCTTTCCATGATATCTTTAATCCCATCAAAGTTCTTGGCTAGAGTGAGCTTGTTGACGATCACAGTGTAGAGAGCTTCATTTGGTTAATAGTCTTTGCGATTTGAGAGTTGGGTTAAGAGAGAGGGTATTGAATTGGGGTTTTTGAGAGTTTGGAAGAGCTGGAGAGCCTCATTGGGCTTTAACCAGTCTTTGTGGTTGAGAGTGGTGGGATTATTGGAATATGGAGATGACCTAGATAAAGAAGCAAACTGACAAAAAATTAGGGTTTAATTTTTTTTAATTTAAAAAGTGTATATTGAGTTTTTTTTGTTCTTAAAAGATGTATACAGAGAATTTTTCTATATAATATTATGGGTGTTGTTAGATGTCTATTATGGTCATTTTTACTTAGGATGTGATTGTCATTAAATTAATATTTTATTGAGTGTGTGCCCTGAGCTAATTAGCTGTGTGAAAATAGAATTTTCCAAAAAATAGAGAGGAGATGTGACTTTTTTTAACCATCTTCCCAAATTAGCCCATAATCATTTCACTTTCTACTCTCACAAGTCATAACCATCAAATCAATTATAAAAAATAAAAATTAAAAATCAAAAGTTTATTCCAAACATAACTCTTTTAGACAGGCTAAAATAGTTAAAAAGTCAAAAATTAGGCTAAAAAATGTACGCCAAACAGGACGAGACCTCAAGAAATTTAGCTTTAATATTGACTGCTAATTAAAGTAAGGGTAAATTACAAACACATTCCCTGAGATTTGATTAAATATGAATCACACTCTATAATTTTGAAAATTACATTCCACCCCTTGAGGTATCTAATTTCATAACAAATCGCCCCCTTTTATTAATAAATTATCAAGTTAATTAACAGTTTTTAATGATGTTAGAAATATGTTTCAATTAATAATTTAGGTAATTTTATTATTGTATAGGAGAGTAATTATAAATTTCATTTTTTCAGTTAATTCTGTTAAATAAAAAATTCTAACAAGTGAGTATTTGTAATTTTCTAAATCACATAAGACAATTTGTACTTTAAGCAAATTTCAGGGGTGAATTTGTAATTTATCCTTAGGTCATGTTTGCTTTGCAAATTAGGGAAAATTCTATTTTCACACACCACATTGTCTCTGTGCACACACTTAATAAACTTTATTTTTATTACAAATTTACCCTTAAATAAAATGATCAAATAGACATCTATCCACACACTTAAACATCCAAAATAGAGATCTCTTCACATCTTTTTCTTGTAAAAGTTGTCTGTGCATATCTACTGTCCATTGCCTACGTTATTCACACTCATTCTCACACACTCTACTCTTTTTCACACTCTCCATTGCTACCTTCTTCCTCCACTCTTCTCACATTTTATTACGTACCTTTTTCCTTCATTCTTTCTTACACACTCCATTGCCTACCTTCTTCCTCTATTATTTCTCACACACTAGACTCCATTGCTAACATTCTTCCAATGTTCACTCATTTGGTTACCATTGTTTGTCAAACAAAACTTGATGGAAGATTTGCCAA